CATTAAAAAATCTATAAAAATCTATATTGGCTTATCATTTATAAATATAAAAATAAAAATAATAAATTAAATAGACCTTGGGATATTGAAAAACAGAATTATCGTTTGAGCTCTTTTATACGAGCGTTGATACAAACGTCAATAGATATGTTCAATCTTAGTAATATTCATACATGTATCTTAAGTATCATATATAAATTATAATATGAGTTAGTAATAATTTATAAAATATTGATGTAGTAATATACTTACCATGTATAATATTTTAGGAAATGTAGGAAATGGAATAAATGTATGGAATTTATTCTAAATGATCGCTCAAAATTTAATTATACTCGTACATGTGAACAGAAATACATGAATATATTTTGGGTGACTTATATTTTTATAATATATTTAATATTTATATATATTTATATAATATATTGACAACTATATATTATAATGATATGGCGATAGTTACTTGATATACATACATTTAATTTGCTTTATTAAAATTATTTCAGTACTATTTAATACTCTTTACAGTTATATATTCACATACATGGAAACATTTTGTATCTTAGGCAGAGTTTAGAGTAGATTATTTTATTAATTTTATTGATGACCACATTCACATTTAAAAGTATTTTATGTATATAAACATTAATAATCATTAAAAAGTTCAAATTAAAACTTAAGATATGTTGAAAATTGTATAGGAATTTAAATACAAAATAAAAATTAGGTCAAAAGAAAAGATAAATTTTCCTTATCGTCCCCGTAAATACATCACTGGCGAGAGCCAATGATCTCATATAGATTCTATATTGATGTAGTAATCGGAATTAACTGTCATATATAATATTAAATGGAAACTGAGCTTGATATATTTAACTGAAGGCGCTTCAAAGGGTCTGAAATTGTAAAAAGAAAGGGAGTTGACTATTTTTGTATTTAAGAAGACTTAGAATTTACTGATAGATCCATCAAAGCATAGCAAATACGTTAATATTCAGTTTATTTAATGTGCGAATGTCAGTAAGAGATAGCTCATTAGTTATGCGTATGTTTCACTTTTTTATTATAATACAAATTAGAGTATATTAACGTTAGTAAAACGTAATCAACGGTAATTTTTTTTACACGCTCACGCATATTATTTATGAAAGATAAGTGAATAAAATAAAAACATTGTTCTAACGATCGTTTAATTTAAAACCGTTGGATTAAGTTGGGGTAAAACGAAATACAATTTAACTTTTTGTTTTTCACCATACGAGGCATGGTCGCACGATATCGTACTCAAACAGCAGCATCTAATAAAATAATATAACATTTAATATCGCTACTAAAAAGTTTTGCATATTAATAACATTTAAATCATTTAAACTTTTACGAATGTTGAAGTAATTATCAATTTCATAGAGAAACATTGTCATAAAAAATAGTCTTGGAGTATGATACTGTCGAATGTAGTATAAATATGGGGAATACAATATGATTATTTTACGATTTTTTGCGTTAGTTTTAATTTATGTTTATGTAGCTACTGAGGATAAGAATTATTGTTGGGAAAATACCAAACGAGTATCATTTTTTGCATTTAAATTTCATTGTTGAAAACAAGCACAAAAACAATTTTCCATGAAAATTGTATTTATTTAAATATTAAATTGTTTAGTCGAAGTACATAGAATATTACATTTTTTTCCTATTTGAACATTGATCGCGTTAGTATTATTTCCTCACATGAACAATACAATATGTATACCTAAATTAATTTAATTAATATACTGTATAATCATTGACTATTGTATAAAATATAGATGAATGATATCTTAACACAATATTATCATATTTAATCAAATTAGTTATATTATCATATGTTGAAACTATGAGAATCTTAGACTTAGTTTTAGTTAGTTAAAATGAAACACAATGTGTTTATATTTGCTGGTTATAATTTTTTTTATTTGATAAAATTAATAAAAACAACTTAGTAACAGAAAATATTATAACTCACGGAAAGTCGACAACTACTAATTACGAACTACGACTATGAAAGAGTACAGAAAGAGAAAAACTCGCTTAGAACAACTATCATATAGAGCTGCTCTTTTTTCTAAGATCGATGAGAAGAAAAAAAAATGCATGGATAGAGCACTATACATGAAAATAATAAGTCAGTAATATATCATAGGCATCTGTAAACTTTATCACATTTTAAACTCGCGTGAATTAATAGATACGCATCGTTAATACAAATGTGTTCTAAGGGGGAGGGGTTGTTCTTGGTTTTTTGCCGATTTAGTATTTTTGTTCCGTGCTGTATATAAAAATGTTATTCTCTGTGCAAGAAATAAGGATTTAGACACATGTCTATTACACAATACTTTACAAATATATCGTTCTAGTTATCTTTCTAAATTGTCGAAAAACGAAACTGATTAGACAGATAACATTATAGAAAAATGCAGTTTATATCGTTTCTTCCTTTGTTTTCCACGTATATTTGTTATGCATTGAATAATATGTAAAATTATTTGAAATAGCTTCAAAGTTAATTGAAACAGGTGTTGTGTGTTTTATTTATGCTCAGGATTTGTTGACTAGACACAAACACGATCAAAAGAAATGTTGAAAACTTGCGAACTTGTAAAAAGTTCTAACTGCCATAGTAGATTTAATTTAATTTTCGGGGCGGCAATTGTTTTTCGGCACAGGAGTGGAGGTGTATCCGGTAGTTCTTGGATGGGTGAGCATCCGGAAATGTAGTGATAAAGCCATAACACGTTACTGCATTCGATGCTTTGTCAACTGACGAAACATTTATAGTACCACTAATACACGCTAGAGTTGCCATGGGTTATAAAAGTTTAATTTTTTGCAACACACATAATGCATTATTTTTATCACGTCAAACTTGTAGATATTTATAAATCGACTTTATTCTTTTTGACAGTAAAATTCTATCTAATTTTGTTTCATGATGGATGAATGGATATTAACGTTTGTACAAAATGTTTCTTTATAGTTGTTTGTCCGTATACATTTAATATAAGTAACCTAATCAAGTTTAAAAATTAACTACAGGAATAATTGCATTTTTAATATCGAATCCTCATTTATTATTTTAGTTTATAAATATATTACAATGTTTAATCTTTGTTTTAATTAAAAATTTGAATTTGAAAGTTTGAACTTTTAAAATGTGAATGTTTATGTATAAGAAAAAATTAAAAATGTAATGCTTATCGTCACGGCGAGCGATGGTTTAATTTTAATTTTAACGATTATTAGTTCCTGGTTGTGGTGTGGCTGATAAAAGTAACACTAAAACATTGTTATACAATGTTGTACAGTAATACAGCGCTGTTGTTTTCCGAACCTCGGCTGTGGATCAACCGTTACAGTCATATTATTTACTTTTGTTTTCTTTAAATATTATTCCATGTTTTATTTAAATAATGAATCATAGAAAGTTTGTGATTTCGAAAATGTTTCGTTGTGCTTCAGAATTTCAATGCGCATGCTTCCAAAATGTAGTTTACCACATGCCGTTCAAGAATTCACTCTTATTTATTGTTGTGAGCTCCTTTACGTATTCAAAACGTATTCGTAATCCTTCAAATATTTGCCAAATAATAGGCAAACTGAGGATAATTGAAGACAGGTAAATAAGACACATATAGTACACGATTTTAACTCGCTCTCAATTTTTCCAATGGAAAAACACTTCAAAATTCGATAAATCTTAAAAAGCCAGATTTTATTTAAAAGAATATTTATTTATTCGTAATACACATATGTAGATATACAGCTATAATTTAAACTGGTAAATTTAATTTTAACTGGGTATCAATTTAATTGTATAGGTTTAGTGGTTCCTGCTGGCCAGCAGCAATCCACAAAAATGTGAGTTTTTACTATCTATTATTATTGCATATATATTTATTAGTTATGCCAACCGGCTAGCAAATCAAACTTACACTGTATCTTATATCAGCTCAAATAGCTGCTATTATTGTTATGTTTATTTATTGGACTAGAAGAGTAGGGAATAAGTCTTTATTATTTTGTTTGAGTTCAAAGGAGCCGTTCATTTAATTAATTAATTAATTGACATACTGAATACTATAGAAAATGTATTTTCTATTTATATAGGTACTTAATTAGAAAAAACACAAGATCTGTAATTACCATAAAATAGAGATGAAGTAAATGTTAAACAATACTTCATTTTAAATAGGAAATTTTGCATGTTATTGTATTTAAATTGCAAAAAAAATATATTTTTATTAATTTATAAATGGATTGAAAGTGCAATTGATTTATAACTGCATAATTCAAATTTTAAGTATATAAATTCATTTCTGCGTTATTATTTAAGTGCTCATTTTGTATTGAATAATAATTATTCATGTAAATCACAATTCATTACGAAAAAGTTTGTTACATTATATTTACAATAAGCTTAACATTATTATTTACTTTTAAATGAATATTCATAATAATATTATATCTACTAAAAAACAATTCATAAGTTTGAATTAATTCAATTTTATTTTGTACGTCTATTGAACTACTTGATGATTAATTTGAATTTTGTGTACAGAACCTCAACATAATATGTGATGTGGAATTAATTATAGTTAAGAAATAGATTGTATAGAATTTAATTCGCATTCCTATTATTGAATATCTGATTGGAAGATGTATATAATATAATATATATATACAATTTAATCCCTGTTGGAATATATACTAATCTACGTATTTCTAAAATGTTAAATAGTTTTAAACTTTAAGCTTCATTTAATCACAAATATCAGGTAATATTAATATACGATTTAAGGTTATATATCTTACAAAGAAAAACCGTTCATATGACAAAAAGCTGTTACATTAATTGTACTTAGAAATACTAAGCATATACAGATTCATAAAATTAATTATTGGAAAGAAATATTTATATTTTCATTTTAATAAATGTAATAAATATAATACATTTGACTCACCGTTATTGTTCGATGCGTTTTCCCTTACCTATAAAAAATAAAATAAATTATTAGCACAACATGGTCATTATATTAAACTAGTATACATTAAAATCATCATTAAATAATGAATTAAACATATTACAAAGAGCTAATTCGAAAAATTATTGTAGATTACAATATTTTAAAAATGTTAAAATATTTCATTTATGTTAAAAAGTAGACCGTGATTTCTTTGCTCATTGAGAAACTGGAGGCGAACGGGTGGAGTCTCATATTTTTGTAAAGTTTACTTAAAGTTACACTAAGACAAATGTACGATAATACTCATATAAATTTGCAAGTTCTAAGACAATGAATATTTAATTTGAAAAATCAATATCACATGGTTACAAATATTATAGTGTTGAGCGGAATTTTGAATTTAGTAGGATCAAGGAAGCATAAACTTCCATTGAACTTCTCATTTCATTAATCAATCGCTTAATCTAAGTTAATACTTATTCCCAAGAACTATTTAAATTTTAACGATTAAAAAATGGTACAACTACAAAGAAACTCATATTTTTATAAATCAAACACATTATTTAATAAAATCAAAGTAGACTCAAATTAATTGCGATAAAAAAATTATCAGACTGTAACTATTTGGTTTATTAAGTCAATTGTTAAGATTTTAGTAAGATTTCAGTAAGATAGTGACATAAATGTTAACATAAATCATAAGTTTTAATAGACTTTTATCAACATTGGTTGATTATTTATATATAATTTAACGGACTTAAGAATATGTATATTTATTTAAATAATTTATGTAAAATTGCTATTATAGCATACTTAAAATCTTATTATTTCGTAATTACAACGTAGTTATAATAATATAATAATATACGTATCTTACTAAAATTATGAATAATTTCAAATAATATCACATATCAGTGATGAATGGATTGAAATACATTGCATGAGTTGTAATTGTAACATTTTAGATAAAAAATAATTAATATTATGATTTTTTGACAATAGTTATTTTGGTTCAATATTTCTATAGTCCGACTTTAATAAAAAAAAAAAATTAATAAATAATGTATTTTGATTTTAAAATGGACACATTGTTATTGAGCCATTATATTTTTTGTGCTGCTCAAAATAAAATATGGCAGTTGTAGAACTTCCCTTTTTAGTTGTGAAAATATTGTCTTGCTTTTATGGTTCTTTTTAATGATTTATTAAATACACTTAAAAATCATTTTTTTTTTCTTTTGCTATACATTAGTTGACGCGAACTCAAGTTTGTTTTACCTTTGCTTGAATGAATTTGTATTGTGTAGCAGTTTCAAGAGAAATTGCATATTAACGTAAAAACTTAATATAATAAATTTTGCACTCGAACTTCAGCGATTTATTTATGAATTCAAGAATATTATTTTTTTTAGTTGCACAGTCATATTACCTATATCATTAGTAATTTATCCTAACCATTACTAATCAGGTGAAAATAATTCGAATATATTTATATCATTTGTTGACTGATTTATTAGTCAACAAACGATATAAAGTATAATATTATATTTGACCATAGAGCAGTTTAAAGACAAACGATTGCAAATGCAAATAACCGATTTAATCAAATATCAAAGTGAATCGATTTAGTTGAAAACATAACCATTGCCGATAAGTCAATAGTTATTATGAGTTGAAATCAGATAATAATCAATTTAAACTAAAATCAATAATCATACATTTTAGTTTTCCCATATTTTTTTTTCAAGTGTATCATAGAATATTAATTGTTCCAAGAATAATTTAAAATATTTCACAAACACAAATAGCTATAATAATATTTTGGAACGAAAACGCAGTTCGCAATTATTGTATTCGATTTTATACTAAATACCATGCAGAATACTGTGAATTCTGTTTCAAGCGAACAACTATTTTGTAGCATCAAAATTAACCACGAACAATGTTATTGAGTCATAAATCACCGCAGATATCGTGATAATTACATTAGTTTGTAAATGAACCGTACATGTATATACAGTGATAGGTATGAAGTGCCATGAAATATGTCGTATAGTTAGCACTGACGTTTTCGGGATTTCTCTCTGGCGTGGAAAAGATTATACGAAAATCGTTACTACACACAATAGATTATATTATAATTCGTTAGAACATATTAGGGTTTTTATAAAATTTTATTAAATCTCATTTTATCATGGAACAGTAATAGTAATAATTCACTGTAAGAATTGTGTCACACACTCGTAAAACCGAGAACGTCGTAAAACTAGTCGCATAAAAAGAAAAAAAAAATTCCCATTGCTAGATTATTAATTTAATATTATGCTGGAGAATTTTAATTTCGAATTTCGAAATTATTTACATCGCAACGGGGTTTAACAATAACTTTCATGGTGTACCGTTTACTAATAAATGGTAATGAGAATATGACCAGTATTCAATTGCTTGCTTTAGATTGGGTTATTATTATTATTTTGGTTCAATATTTTCTGGTGTGCGCAAATGTAAATATCATATTGACGTAATGTAAATAATGAGAAAAGATCAAATATTTCTTACACAAACAACGCACACGTCAAAGTCTCAAAGGGGTGTGTTATTAATTTTAATAATATTTATGTTTTCATTAGAAATGCACCGAAAACACGTTATAATACAAAAACTACGTGCGTAAATCCATATTGGTGAACTAAAATGTTTTTTCGATAGTCAAAAAGTTTTACAGTTTTATTTTCTCACTATGGTTTAACAATTAAAGTAATCTAATAACATTACCTGTATTTTTAATAACGTACATAATATATTTCTAATAGTTTTATAAATTATTTATTACTCTGAATAATACCTTTATAAATATATATATGAAATATACCTTTTTTAAAAATGTCATTATTGAAATAGTTTTATTTTTGTATTCATCTATTGAATTTGTTGTATTAATTAATCGTTTTTTTTTTATATTAAATTTTACAAGGTTTTTTCATACTTAAGTGGCAACTATTAATTTGAATGTATAAGTTGTTTTGAACATTTGAAATTAAAATTTTTAAAAATGTGTTAACACTTGGATATAATTTATAAAATTGTTTACAGTTATTTGTTGTTCTGGATATATTTTAACTGAAATCGGACCATATTATTGGGGTAAACATAATATTTTTGGAGATATAATTATCAAGTAAAAATCAGCATATTTACAATATATTGACCCTTCTGATATTATAGACATAAAATCTTTGATAAATTATTTTGAAATTTCTTAAGGATCTAAAAATGTTATTACAAATTTAGTTCTCGATAATTGATAGTATTGCATATCAACTAAGAATTCTCAAATTTCATCTTAATCATATTGGTAGAAATAAATTAGGTGGAAACGATTATCGCCCGATCAATCAAAATAAAATTATCATTTTAAATTAATTCCTAGATTTTATTATTTAATAAGAAATACGTTTGAAATAAAACGAATGGTAATATAAATATTTCAAGGGGATAAATTACATAAAATATAAATTTGATAACCGAAGTTGTAATGTCAAAAATCATAGAATTTTTAAATAATGACGAGTGTAACACAATATTTTAAGAGTATTTGAATATTTTCATGTCTTTCTTTGTGATTCGTCGCTCAAGTATTCACTAGAACTCTATATATATATATTTTATTTTTTATTTATATTTATTATTTAGTCCAATATTACAATTTTCCTGCTTAACAGAGCATTTTTTAATGAATTCCTGACCATTGAACATCGGATAAGTATGCGAAATCTTATTTTGTATGAATACAACCGATACCTTCAAAAATCAACAGGATTTCCTGTGAATGGCACAACATCAATAGTATGGTATATATGAAAAAAATATCATTATTTACTCTAGCAAATATTTTTATTATATTTACTGGATTTATTTAATATTTTCTAAGTTAATAGTAAGTGATTATAAGAAATATACTTAAAAGTTTGTTCTTATATCTAAATGCTGAACTAACTGATTTTAATGTACTTACTTGCAAAACTAAGTAGGTAGCTAGAATATAAATATATCGATTATAATTCTAATATGCTTTATGAACATTTATTCTTGCAGATGATAGTTAAATATAGTGTACAACTTTTTTTTTTAATTAAAAAAAACGTTTCAAATGTTGAAGTTATTGGCGTTTCTAAAATATCTTAAATTTTATAGGTTTTTACAAAAAATGTCAATAATTATGTATGAATGCTTATGTTATTTTAATTATATATGATGTAATCTAAGTGTTTATGGCTTATTTTCTGTAATAGGTTCGTCTCTTTCTAGAGTTGAAGAAGAATTTATGTCGTCTTTTGGTTGAGTATAAGTATTTTAAAAAGATTGTAGGGGAGTATCAGTTTATCCCTGGATTCCTTCGTCAGGAGATACTTGGTTAGCAGGTGTTTAACTATTGTTGAATGTTGCATAAGGTGCATTTTCGTTGTTATTTATTAGTTGTTCATTAGATGTTCGTGAATGTATAGAGTGTAACCGACTTAATCTGTAATTTACTGTTTGATGTTTGCATGGGAGTGATACGTCATGTACTCAAAGGAGGAAGGGTGGTTGATATAATTTATCTTATAGTGTATAACTCTTCTTCTCAATAGGAAATGAAATAGTATGTATATATATAAAATCATAATATCTAATCACCCTTGTGTCATGGTATGGTAACACGTTTGCTAAAAAAAATTATATAATATACTTGCCTCATAAGACAGGCTCACAAAAATTATATGAATTTGTTGGTGCAAAGATCTTAAATTGAATACTACATGGTTAGTTCATAGGTTTATATTTATATTTATACTTATTTCTGAATTTAACACTGGTTTATTATTAGAAATTACTTATTGTGTTTATTGTGTTATATCCTTTTTTTTTATTTCTACCAACGATTTATGTATAATTTTATAGTTTCAATTTTATACCATATTATAATTTTTTTACAATTTGTTTTATTTATTCTTTAAGTATATTTATTTCTTTATATTATATAAT